ACATTGCACGCATGATAAGTCAGCTTCCTGAATTTATGTGCTAAACATATAGTGGTTATGCGTTTTAATTGAATCACATAATATAATATAATGTGTGGTTAGTACTTTAACAGCTCGATTACATGTAAATTCTTCTCTAAATCGAAGGACCGTTGATTCCAAATAAGTCCATCAGCAAACATTTGTACATTGTACGCATGATAAGTTAGCTTCCTGAATTTATGTGCTAAACATGTAGTGGTTAGTTGTTTTGTGCCTTTGTCCCTTCATTCATTTTCAATTGAAATGTCCAAGTTGTGGAATCAAATTTACATTTCCATATATGACAGTTTTCTTGTTAAGAAAGTTAAAGCTCACCGTAAACTAATTGAAAATGTATGTAAGAGTCTAACTTCTCACAAGAATATCCATGTGTTTATAATTTTGGGAATTTTAACAAAATACTTTCGGTACTGTTTACTTTTAACAAAAATAACATTTTACTCTAAAAAGTCACTCATGGTACTATTCAGTTACAACACATTTTTGTCATTTTGATTAGAACTTAAAATTTTCAAACCATTTTCATTAATTTTCTTTATAATTTTTGGTGTATATAAATATAATTGTTTAAGCCTAACACGTTAATAAAAACGGACTTAGATTGTCTGCCCTCCCCATCTCATACACTTCCCATGTCCTCCTATATTTTGTGGTCACGATTAAGCCACGTCAACATTTTATATTGATTTTTTTATAAAAATAATAAGATAAAAAACAATTAGAATGTAAAATGTTAACATAACTTAACTGTGACCACATAAATAAAAGAGCATGAGGAAGATATGAAATGAGAATGGCAGACAATCCATATCTAATAAAAACACATTTGTTGACATGGAAGCAGGTGGGATGTCAGGCACAATAAATGGAGACACATGCTTTGATTCAGTGATACATAAAGATAGTTAAAGTTTGACCATAAGTCAATCGCCAATATTAAAGTAATCCAACTCTTCCTAATACAATATTATTTTATGTTTGTTGGTAGTTTGCATGGTAGAGAAATGCTAAGGATATTATTTAAAAAATGAGATTCTCAATAGATTTTTTGCCACCTTATGATTTTCGTATAATGTTTTAAATTATTGATACGAGAATTGACGTTAAAGTGTGAGGTGATAAAGAATCTATTAAGAGTCTCACTTTTGAGTGAACCCCTTTAAGCCATCTCTAATAGAAAAGAAAGTCCAAAAGTCAAAATATGGTACGAGTCCAAAAATTAATCTTCAACTGATGTCTAGGCTATAATTATATGAAGCCACTGCCATATTTTACGAAGAAGGCTAAAGATCGAAAAGCCAAAAAATGGTTTGATTTGCCTAAAAACTCATTTCCAACCGATAACTAGACTATAATTTTATGAAGCCCCCAAGCAATTATTTGGTTAAATGGGCATCAGGCTAGCCAAATGTAGCCCTCTTCTTAGCCTTTTTTTTTTTGGCTCGGCTCCTCAATTGTAATAATTGATTCAAATTCAATGGCTAGATTTGAAAACATCTAAGGGTAGTTTAATTAAATGAACTAATAAAATTTATAATATAAACTCAAAATTAATAAATTATTGAGAGGGTTATGTTTAATCCCTTCGTTTTGAGATAGCATATGACTATAGCCTGATACTGTTCAACTAAAAATAAGTTTTGTAGGCTATAATTGTGGATAGGGCTATATTAGCCATTTCAATTGGAGATGACTTACTAGACCATTATATTAGCCCTTTCAAATTCAAAGAATAGATTTGAAAACATCTAAACGGTAGTTTAATAAATTAACCAATAACTTTAAGGGATAAACTTAAAATTAATAAATTATTGAGGAGGCTAAGTTTAGCCTATTAAGTTGGAGATGGTATAAAGTATGACATGATACTGTTTATTTAAAAATAATTTCTTACGAACTATAATTTTGAACGAGGTATTTTTAACCCTTTAAGCTAGAGATAGCCATAGCATTTTTCCTGCATGGCATGCATGAAGTGGAAAGGACAGCATTGGCAGTCGTCACCAACATTAACAATGAACGTGAAAACATTGTTCATCTGGGGAAAGCAGGATGACCGGGTTTGGCCAAGTGTGCATGGTACCAAACACTGATTCACTGAATTGAATGCAATCAATATTTATATTTTCTAGATCAATATCTGGGGAGCAAACTATTAGTTGTTTGGGGACAGTTACCATTTGGTGCAGAAGGAAAAATTAGTTGTTAGGGAGCAAATTTAATTAACGCATTCAGATGAGTTATGCAGAAGGAAAAATTAGGTTCATAATTTATGAACATACAGTATATGGGCCCAACTCACATATTGGCAGGCTTCAGTCTTCAAATCTTATGGGGTTATGTTGGGGGAGTGTATTTCGGCCCAAATCAATCTAACAAGCTTAGGCATCCCACCTGCACTTCTGCATTTGTTGACGCAGGCCTATTGGCTTGCTTATGTCCTCCTTGGTTGAAGAGTTGAGGTGATGTTTCACTATAAAGAACTTTTACAGTGGGTCAAAAATTTTGAGTTTAATTATTTTGATTCTTATAAATTGGGTCGTGCCTCGACCCCAATATAGTGACAGGTTCTATGTTTTCCCCCGAATTTCATCACTTCCAGGCTCAAGTGCATGCTCATCCATTTTCATTCCGAAGGTGAACATTTCCTTAAGTGACTGTAACTATTATGGTGTACATTCAATAGTTCTTAACCAACCCTTTCTCACCGAGCTGAATTATAATTTCACGGTAAGTCAGAAAAATTGACTTCCAATATAATTGAGTTTAGTTATTCAGTGTAATAGATGTGTCTCACGAGATTAAGTTGTAAAATAGTGCTCCGAAAACTACTAAACTCACGTCTCTATAACTATGCTAAATAGATCAAGGTTAGGTTGCATAATTGTTAGAATCAAACTCACTTAAACAACTGTGGAAGACATAAGTGATAAATTTTGGCTCTATGGATAGATTCTGAAAAAGCCCCGCATTAAAAGCCTGACCAGACCTTGAACCAACAAAATAGTTTACTGTGACCACCAAATTCAAACGTGATATTACTAATTCACTTAGTACGTTGGTTAAGATTGAATAAAACTCTGCGTAAAACTGTGACAGTCAGCACTAAAAACTCCTCTTGCCATTAGACAATACATATCGCATTAAGTATCAAAATGTAGAGCTCGTTCATCTAATCTTAGTGGCGGCATTAGAATATGCATGCCACTTGTGCCGCCCACAGCTTAAATTCAACATGGTAGCAACTAGCAAAACCAAGTGCTTAAAAGCAAATATTAACTGAATCCGCTTACTGAAAACTAACAAGTTGCACCGCGGAAGCTTCATTTGGTTGGTGGGGGCAGGAGTTGTGAAATATTATGTTCTTTGTTGCCATCATGCACAAATTTGGATTATCTCCTGACTTCATTGTCCAGATTTTAAGGATTAAAAAATTCGGACTATTTAAGAGAGAAAGAGAGAATCGCATCTTTAATTTGTGTTGGGTGGATATGCGGAATGAGTTAATGGGAATTGTCAGATTCAATTTGAGTGGTCTGAATTTGCTGCTCTTTGGACTTCAGGTAATGAGATCCGAAGAGGATCCCTATCGATCATGCACGGGTCTCCTCTTTGTTTCCTAGCCATGTCATCTTATTGTTTGATGATAATATATACATATGTATATATAATCTTATGGATTAGATAGAATATGAATGATTCAAGTTGATGATGAAAGGCTACTATATACATTATATTCCTGATCCACTACCGTACTACTGCCATATTGTAAGATAATTCCCACCCATTTTATGTTGATGAAACTTTATGTCTGAAGTATCTAATAGTTTAGAAAAATTTAAGTATGACAGTCTAATTTGTTAAATTGTTGAGACATTTTGATCGCAAAATAACAAATAACATGATGTGTTCTTGAGTACCTTTAGACGCAATACATGTGCAACTTTCAGTACACACAGTTCACCTTTATGAGAATGACCTGACCAATTCGTTGGTGAAGTTATCCATACCGATGATTCTCTTTATTAAAATATCCCTATGATTTCATTGAACATATGTTTCTATCTAGTTCTCATGCATGCATCTTTTATGTGATACACATGATGTGTATGATATGCTGCATGACAAATGAGTCAAGAAAACTAATCGGAATATATTGGATATTTCAAAACTTGGGAAAAGTTCATACACATCGAGACATGCATGCATATAAGAGAAATAACTTTACCAACAGCAGCTAGCTTTCGTCGGCTTTTTCATGTTTGGTTGATTCGTGTTGTATCGGTTTTAGCAACAGCCGCTATATCTTTCATGCAGGGGTTGACTTAACCAACTAATCACCCATTAAAACTTGGACAATCTGCGATAGATACGTGGATCAAATAATTAAAAACATTCAATTTTGTATTTGTATTAGAGGTTTAAAGTTCAATTATCTTGATACCTCAATATCTCTTGCATATAAAATTCGGATGATCTTTTGACAAAAAGGCATATCTGAGAAGAATGATGTGATAATAATCATGATACTTTATCAATTTGTTCTTTTTATATCAACGACAAAATAATATTTAGTTTGATAATCTTTGAGTGATAGTTAAAAAAAAAATGATGCATGTGGTCAAATAACATAACCAATAGAGTATTGGGTTCCCATTCATGTATTTCGGGTTCGAAATTTTTTCTCTAAATTATTGTAATAGTTTGAAACCCTCATACTTCCTCTTAATAATAATAAATTAAAAAAAAAGTTTAAAAAAGATTCTAAATATAACATATTTATAATCACAATTGAATGGCAAAAGTATTGATCGTTCTTGTAGTTTGTAAGAATTTTTTTTAATGTACCAGAAACATGGTTCAGTATATCAAGTGTTATAATACAATTAGTTAGATTGTTTTTTTAAATTTCTAACCAACTATATTACTACAGTTAGTCGACACTTTGAAACATCTAAGCTTGCAGAGGAATAATAAAGCACGCCATACATATCTGCATGCCCAATTGCTGAGGCTCATAAAAAAAACCCACCAAACTCAAACCTAATTAGTCATCACTACCAATTGCAGAGCAACCAATCCTTCTCCTTTAAATTCAAACAAATCTTTTGAAACTAACCCACTCCATGGATATAGACACCCACAAACGTACCCACTACGCTTTGAACGGCAAGATCATGCTCTGCTCAGTCGTCATTCTCTTCGTCGTAGTCTTCACCATCGCTTGCTTCCACAGCTACGTCCGCTGCTTCTTCCACCGCAGTCGCCACCAACGACATCGTCGCAACCACCGCTCTCTCACCTCCCTCCTCGAGACCACTCTCTCTTCTATTACCAATCCAAAGGCCTTGGACCCCTCTGTTCTCAAAACCCTACCTGCTTTTACTTACTCTGCCACCACCGGCACCAAAAACGCCGTCGTAACACCGCTGGAGTGCGCAGTGTGCTTATCGGAGTTCGAAGATCAAGAGCAAGGCCGTCTACTGCCCATGTGCAACCATGCCTTCCATATCGACTGTATCGACACTTGGTTTCAGTCGCAGTCCAATTGTCCACTCTGCAGGGCGCCGGTACAACCCGATATTCCGGTTCCTAAGCGAGAGATTTCGCCAGAAATCTCAATAACAGTGAATGAACCCTCCGGTTCGGAGCAAGAGAGGAGTAAGGGTAACATGGGTTTTTCAAGATGCGCGTCGTCGACGAGTTTATCGCCGGAGGAATGTGGGAGGAAGCCATTCACGGAGTGGTGGGGGTATCTGTTCTCGTGGATGAGGTGCCTAATCGTATCTGTTTCGGTTCACCCAAAAACAATTACAGCGGACAAAAATCTTCGGGTTCGGGCACCCAGATTCTGTCGTTAAAGAGGATATGGAGCATATAGGCACAGAACAATCTGATCCATTTGGATTTTTGTAGTGCAGTGGGGAATATAATATTTTGGCGCTTTTGTTTTTCTTTGGCAGCGTCTTGGTACACACCTTGTGGTTGTATTTGTATTTGTATAATATGTTTGTATAAATATATACATTAACTCATGTAGTCATGTTCTAAAATATGTTCTCTTAGATAAATATTTTTATTTATTTTATTTTAGATGGTGTCACATATTCAATTTTTTTTAAATGACGTTTTTGTTAATTTTGATGTTTTATTAGTTTTGTATGAATTGCTTTGATTTTACGTGTTAACGATGGGCCCATATAGGCCTACCCAAGGACGTAAGTCCAAAGAAAAGTCTAGGAGCCCAAGGCCCCAAGAGTTGATAGAGGGTCGACCCCAGGGGGCTCAAGCCAACTGAGACAAAAGAAGGATTATCCGACCAAGAAGAGCACATGGGTATGCTGACAGCTTTACGACACAAGCCTCCAAGTGTCGAAGTACTTGAGTATCGCTTGGACTACTCAACGACATGCATGCAGAGGCCTAAGATGGGGCATAAAGGAAGTCGGCACAGTGCTTGGCAAGGCAAGGCAGAGTAACCGAGGTCCGAGAAGGGCGCTTGGGCCACCTGGGCCTTAAAAGAAGTGTCAACCGACTGCTAGAACGTCACTTGGTCCAAAAAGGCCAGGGCAAGTAGGTGAAAAGCTGTTAGTAAGTTAGTACGGGTAGTTGGCAAATTAAATATTGTTTTGATAGTTCTCAAGGGGGAAAGGCCAATATAAAGGGGTAGAGACCTCCATTGTGAGAGTCGGATGAACAAGAGAGAATAAGGTGTATGTATTAAGCCGAGCGTTATTTAGTCTTGAAATCAATATATTGAGAGTAACACAGTGGATGTAGCTCAGTTTTGAGAGGTGAACCACTTACATCTTTAATTCCATTTGAATTTAGCCCATCTTACTAGCCCATCTTATGTTATTTAATTACATTTGTTAACTTACAATTTTGAGCATTAATAATACGAGATATTTATCTTGTTGATGCACAAAATCAGTGAGGACTTTGGTACAACAGAAAGTGTCAAGTTTGTGACCTTCGCTAGATTGCTCCGGTCACTAGTGTGGATAAGTATGCAAATGGATAGAGACAGGGAAGCAAACACAAGATGTACGTGGTTCACCCAGATTGGGTACGTCCACGGAGTAGAGGAGTTCTCATTAATTGTGAAGGGTTTACACAAGTACATAGGTTCAAGCTCTCCTTTAGTGAGTACTAGTGAATGATTTAGTACAAATAACATTAGGAAATATTGTGGGAGAATGATCTCCTTTTATAGAAGAGATTTCTAGCTTTGTTTTGACATTGACACTTGTCGTGTTATGATTGGCTTCTGATGTTGACACGTGTCGCGTTATGATTGGCTTCTGATGTCGACACGTGTCGCGCTGTGATTGACCTCCTGGTTGGAGGGAAACTCTTCTAGGTCCCTGACGGTATAACGTTGACCAGTGCTCGGTAGTTTCGGGATTTGTCAAGTATGGTACAAACATATCTTATAATGTTTTTGTCATTATTAACAAATGATAATGTTAGTAGACCAATTTTTAGACCAAATTTGTAAATTATGTGATGTGTTACCAATAGGGAATAAGTACGTTAATCAATACTTAACACTTAAGTAATAATCTAATAATCAACAACTACATCATATAGTTTACAAAATATCATTTAAATAGATGGTCTACTTATCATTACCCTATTAAATATTACACTCGATATGTACTTTTGTAAGAGCGTATATCAATTTGTCAGGTGTCATGTTGTTTTATCTAAGTTTTTCTTCGACTTCTCGCAATCAAACATGCTCTGATAACATGTCAAATATTCAAAGAGATGGGCCATTGTCCTCCTCTTAACCACATCAATAATGTCTCAACTTAACCACCTATTCCAAGGTGTTGAATTTTATGACAAAAAAGTTTTATTTTCTCAATTTCCTATTGTATGACACAAAACGAACATAGCCCAAGCATTCCTAGGGCTACAAACCACTAAGGAAATTTGTAAAGCCATCATAACTCAAGCCAAACCTTACAAACCCAATTTCTAAGTTGCCTATATGCAGCACAAGCTACGTAACCATAGAATTGAGTGTTAAATTTGAAGAACAAAATCTACTTTAAGTCTCAGTCGTTCAAATCAACGTCCAATACGCGTTTAAAGAATTTGTGGAAATGAGTGAAGGTTCCTCATAATTCGCGGCATTGGGAGGCCCTCCACAAAAACCGACCACCATTCCAATTCCTCCTCATATTTATACACTCATTCTCCTCGTTTTCTAATCAGTTAATCCCCTTCCATTGATTTAACAACAAAAATAAGAACAAGAACAAGGAAAGAAAAGGAAAATGAGGCCAATTGCAGCAGCATTTTTCTTCCTCTCAACATTATGTGCCGCAAAATTTCTCGTCGTCGCTGGAAACGGTCAAGCTCAAGGTGTAAGTCAAGGCAGCAACACCGCCGCTGCCGCAGGTGAGGTGAACATGAAGCTTCTTGAACAAGCGTGCCAGCATTCACCCCGTAAGGACTTATGCATCGAAACCCTGGAGAAGGACCCGAACAGCAAGGGCGCGGACCTCACCGGCCTTGCCTTCGTTGCCATCCGGCTGGCTGCCGCAATGGCCTCCGACGTGGACGAGCACATGCGGTCGTTGCTCATTCACAACGCTACCACTTTGGACCCCACGATTCAGCAGGGGTTGGCAGACTGCATTGAGCACTACTCCGATGCCAACGAGCAGCTCGACGATTGCGTCGAGGCCATCTCGACGCATAACTTAGAGGAAGTGGAACTGTGGGTCAACGTGGCGATTTCCGACGCCGACTTATGCGACAGCTCGCTCGGGGGAGAGAAATCCGTGATCAAAGCCAAGAACGAAGCGTTCCGCCTCTTGTGCAATAATATTTTGTCCATCGTCAAGGTCTTGCCTGCTCACAAGTGATTTTCTTGAATCTTCCATTGTATGGATTTAATTAGTAGCTAGTTAAATAGGATCAAATTTTTATGTAATTAATAAATGATAATTTACTAAAATGTGCCAACCTTGCGATTCACTAACTACTTTTCGATAACAATTGTTGGTTTTATACACCACGCAAGCGATTTTATGAACAGTTATTTGTGAGATTTGAACTCAACACCTAATTAATTGCTATTGGATTAAATAATAGAAAACTTCATTTTAATCCTTGGCAATGATGACTTTTTGATTAAAACCATGAGTAAGATCAAAATCTAATTTTAGTCCCTTGATACATTACTAACCTCATTTATTAATTATATTTTGATTTTTTAATTACTTATCTTTTTCTTTCTAATTTTAATGTATTAATTTTATTTCATTATAATTTTTATTTTCATTTCATTCATCGTAATATATTTTGTTGTGAACATTTAGATAAACTAATTTTTGTTATACAATATATTTTGATGTACTTTATCTTCTTCATTTAGGTATATTAAATTCATTATAATACATTTCGGTACATACATTTAGGCACACACATTTTGATACATACATTTCAATACAAACATTTAGGTACATTAATTCAATATAATACATTTTCGGTACTAACATTTCAGTGCATACATTTCGGTACATACATTTAGGTACATTAATTTAATATTAATACATTTTGGTGCATATATTAAGGTACATACATTTCGGTACTAACATTTAAATATATTAGTTCAATATAATATATTTCGGTACTAACATTTAGGTACATTAATTGAGTCTTTCAAGTTTGAAGAATGTTAAATAAAATTAATAAATTAAAAAACTCTTTTTTGGTCAAAAAATAAATTAAAATTTGTGTATTAATAAATTTAAATATTTAATTGGAGACATTAAATAAAATGCACATTAATTATTTTGAATTAAGGGCACATTAGGGACTAAAATTAATATCTAATCTAACACCATGTTTTTTTTTAATTTTAATCAAAGTTAAAAAACCCCATTAAATAATCATGTGCAAAAGCGTAGCGATGTTTTACTCTCTAATAGTTTTTGCCAAATGCCAAACCCAAAGCAATATCTGCCGTTACAATATGGTATAGCTACATCATCAAGTTGACGTGATTATATTGATCATATAGTTATAGAACACGTATGATTACGAGTATTTCAATTAAGAGAAATGCTAAGGGGACTCGTAAAGTTAAACTTTTCATGGACTCTCAGTCACCTCATAGTATAAGGTCAATTTTCGTGTCAACATTACAAAATATTTTATAAAAAACATGAGATGATCGAGAATCCATGAACAGTTCTAATTCTAAGAGAGTCTCCACTCTTCAATTAATGCATCTGTCAGAAATAATTAGAAGAGCAAACCTAGTTAATTACGTGTTGTTGGTTTTGTGTTTAAGTAGAGATTAATAAGATGCATGAGAGTTCCAAGGTATAACGGAACGCATGCACGTGAAGGAACGCGGTTCAAAAGGATTGCTTTTGGTAACTCCTACGTAGTTGTCTTCTATGAGTGGCAATTACATTCATTGCAGATGCGTCATAGCAAAGATAAAGACCAGAAACAAAATAGAGTACAAGGACGCAATCAATTTTGTTGCTGATGTAACAAGAGAAATGCTAAGAGACTCTTCCAAATGCTCTATAGATTTTCTGTCACCTCACAATTTAACGTTAATTTTTGTGCCGACATTCTTTGATGAAAAATTAAAAGAATCCGACAGCCCACATTCTTTGATGAGAAATGCTAAGATCATCTCCAAAGGAGATGTCAGAAATGTCACGTAAACATATAACAGTAACAAATGATATATCATTTACTTCAACTGAAATGTCAAAGCTAACATGGACAAAAAGATGTCAAAACAACGAGATGTGAAAATTTATGTTGCCTTCAAATATGGTTTTTGCTATGTCCAAAGACATTTCACTTATCTTACCTTAAATGCTAGAATAGTTAAGTATTATTTTATTATTTTTAAACAAAAAACAACCCAACTTTTATTATTTTTGTTTAAAAAAAACAGAAGCAATAAATTCTGACATATTGGGTGAATGGAATTTATTGACAATATGTGTCAATTGCCAAGTCAGCTATCAAATTGAAATTTAATGTTTTGAATTTGACTCTTCTTTATAGATGCTCTAAAGGAGACTTTTTCAACAGTGGAACTCTCAATCACATTACAATTTAACGTTAATTTTAGTAATAGCTTTACAAAATATTATGTAAAAAATATGAAGTAACAGAGAATACATAAATAATTCCATTTTTAAGAATATCTCTTTAGCATTTCTCTTTTTTTTTATTCATGCCTTAGAAGACTGTATATAAATAAATAACGTCGGAGATTTTTGAACTAAAGGTCAGTATGTCAAATGAGCCGACTTAAATTAATTTTTTCGTTTAAAATTTTGACCAAAATTTGAGTCAAATAATTGGAGCTATAAATCGCTTTCTCGACCAAACCTTAGGACTGTCTAAGAACTTGGGCATCTTAACCTGTAATCTTTTGCCCAACAAGAAACAGACAACTCCTTCATGTCCATAAAAAACACTAAATTCAATTGCGTGGATGGCTTGGGATGTATGCTTTAGTTATGGAAAACTGTTTGATACTAACAACCAACAAGGGCAAGGGAATCATGGTTGACGTATCACATGCTATACACCTTGCAATTCCTGCAGCTAGTCAAATATCGAAGCCAACTTAGATCTAGTTATCTTTCTCGATCGGAGAGAGAAATTTTTGTGTATAACGGTCATACTATCATATGTCGTTACTAATTCATGTATTATAATTAAGCACCGACGGAGTTACACTCACGACTAAGATGGGTTGTAGGCTAGGTTCGTTTTGGTCGAATTCCTACTATATTAAGTTAATAGCATATCAGTTAGGCTACTGCAGTCTATTGTCACCAACTACAACCCACCGAGTTCCACTATTATCAATTTGTTGTATTTTATTGCATTTTTATAATTATCTTTTGAATAAAATTTAGAGTATTGGTTTTTAGATTTTGATTCAAGTGGAGTTTTGGTATCTAAATTAAAATATGTGAACAGTAGTCTTTTAAACTCATCACGCTAGAGCAACAGTTAATTTGAACAACATCGTTGAAACTTTCGTCCAAATAAGGAGTTTTCCACCCCCATGTGCCAAAGTCAAATGGTTGTTCCTCCTTCCTGCTTCCTCTTTTTCTACATATGTGGTGGCGGGTTACCAGAGAAGAGGGGTCAACTTATTTCTCCCTTGCCTTGCTCAATTTTCCTTTTCTGATTGAAAGTAGCAAGCCATTCCACTACTGGTACATTAGGTCAGGTAGAAGGTTGTTTCCTCTATATGTTCAAGCAAAGAACATATCTTTCTTTTAGTAAGCAATAATGTTTATGAATTTTTAGTTCAATGATCAAAATTCCAATTTTGATCGTATATCAGGAGTCAATAATCCAATTTTTTACTTTTACTTTTACTTTTATTTTTATTTAAGTTGAAGTTAATTAATGGAAAGCTGTAGAATTGTTTGGTTTATTACGTAATTTTTTTTTATTTCAGGTTGATTATAATGTAACTTTATGAAGACAAAAAAAATTGATCAAATCATATTATGGTTATATTTTTGGGTAGCCCACTGGTTGAAGAAATCCTATCTTTGCCCTTGATTATAAAATGAGTGGATGACATGATTGATATGTCAAGACATTATACCATAGCGTTATAAAAAATTGACGCTATAAACTCTTGCATTTTCTTAGCATTTTCAGAATGTTATAAGGACAATCACACTTAAAAAACTTTACTAGCAACGACCAAAGTAAAGTTAATCTAATCTTTAGATGTATATGCTTCATATGTGACAAATTGATCAATTAAGATGCATCACGAAAGTTTCTTCAAACACGATTGTTATAAAGTCAATCAGTTAACAAAACAAAAAATAAAACCAATTACAATTTTAAAACCTAAGTTGTAAATTGAGAATTCCTAATTGGGCATTACATGTTTATTACTTTACTTTAAAAAATGGCAAGGAGAAAAGAATTGTAAAAGAGAAGAAAAAATGGGTTGCAGTCCAAGAAAAATCTCAAATTAATCCGCTGGTGTAAGGCACTCCGGTTTGGGGCAACCAGTCATCTCCCAGCAAGAAATTAGTCACCGTGAAATTAGCGGCGTCGGTAGAATTAATCACATGGTAACCGGACCACGTAACTCTGTTCGTAGTGTTGGATCCGGGTCCGGTGTTGTTGTACTCAGCGTAATACAACGTGGTCAGTGCAAAATCTCCGTTCCACTCTTGCCAACCAACAGGATCCACCACGCTATCAATGTAAGACTGCATGTAAACTGTCCTAGAATATTCCTTCCATGGCCTGCCCAAATACGTCTGTGTACTGCTGTTGCTGGAGGCTAAATCATCAGCGGCACGAATGGTGCAATTGTGAATTGAAGTGCCCGTGTTTTGGTTCGGGTCGGTTCTACCCTGAGCCGTGATGGCGTTGAACTGGCCGCTCATTGGAAGGCGGGGATATATGTTGCAGTTTTGGAACACAACAGCAGCATTTCCAAATATGAAGTCAACGGTGCCGTAGATGTCACATTCTCTGTAGAACTGCCGAAGAGAGTGTGTGTATAATGTGTCTTGGTAGGCTTCAAAGCTACAACTATAGAATGTGGACAGATCCGCCCCATTTCGGACTGCGACTGCTTGGTGCTTGATTGCTCCCGCGGTGTTGCGGAACGTTATGTTCACCGCTACAAATCCAGGTGCAACCACAGCTGCAATATTTATCATATTCAATTATTTGTAAGATACTAATTCAGCATTATGTTGATTTTATAAAATATGCACATAATAAAATTTGACCGTTATGTATGGTCAAATATTAAACTTGATTACGATCCTAATTCACAGTTTGAAAATATAACAAAGCAGCTTGCATTTTTCATTTCTTGTTTAAAAAT